CCAAGGGTTTTCTCCTGCCCAAATCATTTTATTCAGGAAGGAAAGTCTTCTTTAGGGTTCTACGCATTCATCTCACTGGTAGGAATTGTGTAACCCTATTTTTTAAAAAGATGGGAAATGAATACTTAACTTTTTCTATCTCCACAGTAGATAAAGGCAAAGTAACAAGAAGCTTACTATATTATGTTCATGCACAACCTCCCAGCCAAACTCCTACGTTTTCTAACAACTTGATGAACTCCAGCTAGTATGCTTAAAACTTCTATTCAAAAATAAAATTCACAGTAAATTCCATAAAAACTCACTTCCAAGTCTGCCAGTTAGTGCAATGGCAGAGCAGATAACTTTTAGCCACACCGAGAGTCTGTGGGTAAGTGACCTCTCTGAGTACCCTTCATATAGGCAGTGGATTCTGAGAGAATCAGATGGGATTCTCATTTCTAACTTATTACTCTTTTAAAAAAAATATTTATTTATTTAATTCTATTTGTTATTATTATATTTTAACTTGACCAGTGAGAGAGAGAGAAAAGGAAAGTGAGAAAGTATTCTGCCAGGTCCAGGACTCAAACCATGGTTGACCATATGGGAACCCAGTGTCCCCAACCACCATGCCACCTACCGGTCAACTTCTTCCTCATCTGTAGTGGCCACATAGTGCAAACTGAGGAATAATATAAAATCAATACTATCAAGATACTCAAGGAAAAATCTATTGCCATATAGGCAACATAACCAAAATTTAAAAGAAGTTTTTAAAAATGTTAAAATATAGGGACCAGCAGTTGGTGTAATGGCTATGTTATTGGACTCCCACGTAGTTGACTACAGTTCAAGTACCGGGCCCGGTGGCTTAAACTCATGCCAGGCATGTGTGTGTGTATGTGTGTGCCCAAGATCCTGAGAGGAGAATGGAGAAGGGATTATGGTGTGACCATCCCCCCAGGGGTGATTTCTCACTTTCTGTTTCTCCGTCTCTGTCTTTCTGGAGAGTGCATGCACCCTATAGCAAAAACATCTGCAAAACAAACAAACAAACAAACAAAAATGTTAAAATATAGGAATGGAGCCGGAAGGTGACATGAAGGTTAAGGTGCTGATTCTCACATTGCTGACCATGGTTAGAGTCCCAGACCTGGCAGCTTAAGAATCATGCCGGGTGTGTGCATGTGCATGCCCAGAATCCCGAGAAGAGAATGGAGGAGCAGGGGTTACTGTGGCCATCACCTCTGGGAGGTGATTTCTCACTTTCCTTCTCTCTGTCTCTCTCTGCCTCTCTCCAGCGAGCACCCGTGCCTGACTGCAAACACCCATATATATGTATTAGGTTGTCAGAAAAGCCATGATGTATTTTTCTTTTTTTTTAATGCAGAATTCCATCATGATTTTCCAGACAACTATATCTATATTACATATAGACCTATCTATATATGTGTATATAGATATCTACATAGAATATCTATCTATACATGATATACCTAGATATATCCAGATATAATACACAATAGGAGGTATTGTATTGAGTTAAAATAATGTTTAATAAAATACATTCAGCTATGTTATAACTATGGTAAAGCTAAATATAAAAAGAAAGAAAATGCTCACTTAATATTAGGAATAAGAAGATGGGTTTCATTTGTGAGGCTGGAGAGATATGAGAGATCATGTGTAAATTGGAAACGTGTTAGTTTAGAAAGAGAAATGTTAGAACTTCCTATTTTTTAAGAGACTTTTTCAGAGAGACAGAAAGTGAGAAATCACCCCCAGAGGGATGGCCATGTGCAATCTCTTCTCTTCCATCCTCCTCTCGGGATTTTGGGCATGCAGTACACACACACGCTCCCAGCAAATTTTAAGTCACCAGGTCTGGGACTCAAACCACAGGCGGCTCTGTGTGAGTCCACCAACATATCCCCATTGCCATCTGCTGGTCCCAGAACTCCCTAATTATAAAACACTTTTCTTCATTGAGAAACACTTTTTTGCTGTCATTTCTTACTGCCTATGTTTATTTTCCTAGCTCACTAAATATACAATTGTCCAAAATTAGGTTCTCTTTAATTCTCTCCTCCTCTTTATATTTCCTGCTCTCCATCTCACTCTTCTCCCATGTCTCCACTCTTCTCTCCTTTCCTTTCTAAACTCTGTCCATCAGAAACCTCACCATAGTTTAGCTTTAACCTGTCACCACTATGGAGCTGACATTCGTATTCAGGCATAATCTTTCTTCTCAAATCTACTTCTCCTATGTCCTTTGCTTTAAAAAAATATCATTATATTTTGTCTTCCAGGATTAAATGATAATGTTCAAGGTTAACTGCTCTCTCTCACTGTGGCTATTACTCAGCATTGCATGGTTTGTTTAAGCGTTTTCCATACATTACACAGTTCATTTATTCATCCACTCACTCATTCTTCCAACCAGCGTTAATTGAATATCTTTGACTTTCAGGGACTTAAATTCTAAATATACAAATGAGCATATATATGCATATGTGTGCCTACACATGCACACACATACACACACACACACACACAAAATACAGAGGAGATCTTCAAAAAATTTACGGAAAATACGTGTTATGAAAAATTATGCATGCTTAATTTTTTGCACCAGAACAAACCAGTACTTTAATTCCATTTTCTCTGAATTTTTTGAAGTCCCCTTATGTATAATATATGTATGCACACAATATTTTCTGACACTAGTTGTGAAATATAAAACTGCAGTTACAGTTCATTTGTTTTTTTCATTATCTTTGTTTTTGATATCAGATGTTAAGTCTTTTTTTACATGTTTCAGTCAACTATTGAAACGTCGGAAGGTGTCAGTCCCTTTGAAAATTGAACTTCTTTCTGAGGAATTAAATGCATGGAGCGCTTGCACACAGTCCTCCAACCAGTGAGTAAAGACAGTATAAACGTTGGAATGTAGAAGGTGTTCAATGTTGCAGACAAACTTGCTGGAAATATTCATGATGTTATTATTAACTTTAACAGAAATATGAATCTTGATTTGTTTAGTACATACCCCATAATAATCATAATTGCATTATTGTTCTTTCCTGCCTTAAAGTCCTTTGTATTATTATTATTATTATTATTATTATTATTATTATTATTTTGGAGAGGTTTACACTACAGGGCATGTGCGCTCACCAGAAAGACAGAGAGAGACAGAGAAAGAAAGTGAGAAATCTCCCCCCCAGGGGGGATGGCCACGCTGTAATCCCTTCTCCTCCATTCTCCTCTCGGGATCTTGGGCACACACACACGTGCCCAGCATGAGTTTTAAGTGACCGGGTCCAGGACTCGAACTGGGAGTCCAGCAACATAGCCATTATGCTAACTGCTGGTCCCAAGTCCTTTGTATTATATGTCTAATGTCAATTTGACACCATCTATAAAAGGGAACTAAATAATAGGGACTATTTCTAATCTAAGCTTCAATAATTCTATGATGCTACAAAAATGAAAATTTAACATATGTTGAAAATATAGATCATCAGATGAATCTCCATACACACCCCCTTCTGATTCACAAAGAATGGTTTATGAAACCTTATTAAAAAGACTACAAGAAGACCCACTCAAGGAAATCATTGGACCAGATTATGTGACTGGATCAAATCTTCCAAGTCATTCTGACGTTCACATCTCTTGTTTTACAGGATTAAAAATCCAGGTATGACCTAATACCTACCATGAATTATGCATTTCTATTATTTTTGTGTGTTTACTTTTTTGAAATGTTATCTTAAGATAAGCATAAGTGGAATGAAAGCAGGTAACTTTTTTTTTTTAAGAGAGATTTTTTCGCAATAGGGTGCATGCACTTATCGGAGAGACAGAGAAAGGCAGAGAGACAGAAAGCGAGAAATCACCTGCAGGGAGAATGGCCATGCTGCAGTCCTTTCTCCTCTTGGGATTTTGGGCATGCACAGGCACCTGGTGTGAGTTTTAAGCTGCCAGGTGTGGGACTCGAACAGTGGTTGGCCGTATGGAAGTCGAACAACATAAGTATTATGCCATCTGCTGTTCCCAGTAAACTACTTTAAAGAGGCCAGGAGTGAGAAAATACTGCTCTTAATGATTTCAGAATTAACATAAATGTTTCTTTCTTCTTAAAATAAATTCAGAAAGATGGTCATTGTACTGATTATTCTATTATGATAGAAGTGGTCCATGTAATACGTATGTTTTGTAACAAATGATATGTATACGTAATAAAAAAAATGCTTTACAATACATGTAGGTCATATCCTGAGGGAAATTCAATAAGGAAGAAAAGGCAGCAATCAGCATTATTACAAATGATTATTTCCAACAGATTGAATTTAACATTCTAGTCTCCATTTGTGTGGTACAAACACAGAGCACTTAGAAACTGGTAGATGAGTGTTATGGATATATTATGCCTGTTCTTACATTGAGCTACTGAACTTTTCAGCAATTAAAAATTACTGGGATCAATCATGAGGGATGGCTAATTTCCACGAATGATCCCTAGTGTACAAACAAATTAATGATGGTGAATGGTGCCAGAACCTCCCACTGTGACCCAGGGGTGCCATTATCTGGGAGAAATAGAGGTCTTTGCTGTCTTAGAGCCAGGACTGTTGTAATCATCCCCATTAAATGAACAAAGCTGAATCTTCATGAAATGCTAATTGAGACTACAAACTGGACTAAAAGTGCCCCATCTTTCAATGTACATTTCCTCTCCCCCCCATTTTTAAGAGTTTTTTGCCTTAGGGTGTGTGTTCTTGCTGGAGACAGAGATGGTGAGAGGGAAAATGAGAAACCGTCCTTCCAGGGGAGGATGACCATGCCACAATCTCTTTTTCCCCGTTCTCCTTCTGGGACCTTGGTCATGCACGCACATGCACCTGGCATGATTTTCAAGTCACTGGGTCTGGGACTCGAACCGTGGTCAGCCTTGTGGGAGTCCAGCGATGTAACCACTATGCCATCTGCTGCACCTTCAATGTACATATTTTACCCAGTAGATTTTTAAAATTTCTAATGTTATGTGAAAAATTACATTTCTGATGCTGATGTGTCAGCCTAAGGAAAAAGGTATTTTTTTGCACAAGCACTCAAAATAAATGAAATATCTAAATATTACTGTAAATCCTAGCTATACTTAGCTTGCCAAGTTTAGCTTGGAAAGGTGGTTGAGTCTCAGAATACAACACACAGGGTAGATAGCTGTATATACCTTTATTATCTACTCACATTCAGAAATAAGCCAAAGCAGTAGGTGGACTAACTTATAATTAAGAGCAAAAATGACTATGAAAATTTTGGCATGTGTCTTTTGTTCCACTCCAGTACCGCTCTTTTTATTTATTTATTTTTTTTTTTTTGGAGAAGTTTTTGCTATAGGGCGCGTGCACTCGCCAAACAGAGAGAGACAGAAAGCCAGAAATCACACCCCAGGGGGGGATGGCCACACCGCAATCCCTTTTCCTCCATTCTCCTCTTGGGATCTTGGGCACGCACGCACACGCACCTGGCGTGAGTTTTAAGGCACTGGGTCCAGGACATGGACCACGGTCGACTACTTGGGAGTCCAACGACATAGCCATTATGCTAACTGCTGGTTCCACCAGTACTGCTCTTCATATACCATTTCTTCCTGTTCCTTTTCTCCTTTTCTTAAAATTCCTTTTTTCCCTCTGGGATAGCAAATGGCCTAATAAATACTGTCTAATCTCTTTGTATCCAAACCTACATTCAGGAAAGGATCTACTAATTATCTCATGTACGCTAAGGTGCACTTTACTGAAATAGATGGAGTACTGCTCTCCTAGGGCATTTCTCTTTTGAAAGAAAATTAATGTGTTTGGGTTATAATTGTGATATTTTCATGTACCTATTAATAGAAGTTGTCTATTTTACCTGCTCCTATAACGGGCTTTCCAGTATTTAGAAATAATTTACTAACATATCACTTGAAGTCATGATTTGAAATCAGACAGCGTTAGAAGATAAATAATAAATTTTTTATTGCATTTAATGTTCTGTAAATCATGTTTTTTCTTCTAAGAGCTGGGTAATACAGATTAAAAGGTTTTTATGCATTTGGTCTTTTGTAACTACCTGGCATATATTATAACTGATGCAACTAAATTCTAACTATGCCAGTAAACCAGATGACTATACCTAACACATATACAGTAATATATTCATCAGCTTCTGGAGAGTGGTTCCAAAGTTTCTGGCTTGAATAATTTCTCCAGCTGTATTTACATAGGTACATGGTTAAAATAGCGAAGTATATTTAAGTATATTACTAGGTATATATACTTTTGTAAAATAAGTTCATTTTGCAGCGATTAATGTATTAACAGTGTCTATTGTCATTAGTACTATATTTAAAGAATTCAAATTATAAAACTAAATTCTATTTTGACAGACATCAAAAAAGAATGACATATGTTAAGATATTTTTAAATGTTTCTATATTTGGTGGCTATTCAAAAAATCTAATTGGTCTGATATTCTTAAATCTATTGGGGTGACTAAATATCACTAGTGGTTTTTCTATTACAGTGATTATGTTCTTGGAAGTTAAAAATCATGTTGCGAATTTATAATCTCATCTTCTCTTTCCTCGATTCTCGCTATGCACAGGGTCCTGTATTTTTTCTTGAAGATGGGAAATCTGCTATTTCATTGAATGATGCTTTGATGTGGGCGAAGGTGAATCCATTCTCACCTTTAGGGACTGGAGTACGACTCAATCCATTTTGAAAGAAGACTTTTCTCCATGCTCAATTTTTTAAAGAAGAATTTTTGTGGATTAGTATTACTTTAATATTGACTGCCTAGGAGCCATTTGTTTAAGGAATTTTCAGAGACCCGGGAGACTGAGGGGAATAACAATTAATTTTATTCACTTACTTCAAAAAATAAAATATTTATATAATTTAAAGAAAAAAATAGGCGTCTGATTTATAAAATGTAATAACCACCTTTGGGAAGGAGGTAGTATTTAAATTATAATATGAAGGGATATAAAAGTTTTGCAAAGCATAAAACATACCAAAATATTATATTGTTGAAACATTGAAACATATAAAATAGTGCAACACCTGAAATAGAACTTGATGTATAGCAAGTACTATTGAATGTTTGAATGACAGTATGTTGAAATATTGAAACGGAATGTGTGTACACATGATATCCAAGTTAACAAACACTTATGTTGTTCTTTATAAAATATATAGCAAATAATTAATTTTAGTTCATATTGAATAAAAGTTTTCAGTTATAAGCTTAGTAAATATTATAAATGGATACTCAGTCAAAAGACTTGAATTTTATTTTTTAAAAAGAAAAAGTTTTTTATGTGACATTCATAACTGTCCAGTTATAAAAGTTATGTTTTATAAGCATGAAAAATGGAGATGAAAAGCACACAATGCAGTCCAATATATATATGAGAACTTGCATTAGATGATAATTTACTATTTTAAAGGATACTTGGTATGTATGAATATTAGTTTTGACCAATACATTAAATATTTGCATAAAAAATTAAAACTTTCTTAAAGTATGATTTATTTGATGGAAATAAGTTTCAGACAACTTTCTGTAAGTAAATAGGATAGTAGTTTACATTTTTTTATATGGTATGTGAATTTAATTTTTTAAATATTTATTTAAATGAAAAGACTGTGAAATGCCTAAAACATAACTGCGTATATTTCAGTTGGACTATAATTCTGAATTTTAAATTTATGAAATTAATGTATATTAGGAAAAATAGTTGTTTGATCCTCAAGTTGTTCTATAGGATCCGACTAAAGAGCAAGCTCATTAACAAAAATAATTATGACTTTTATTATCTTTAAATATGTTACACTTAAAATATTTCAAAACCTTCTTGAAACAACTTAATAAAACTAAAAGCAAATATTGGGACCAGCAGATGGCATAAAGTTACACTGCTGGATTCCCATGTAGTCAACCAGGATTCAAGTCTTGGACCTGGCACCTTAAAACTCATGCCGGGCACATGTGTATGCATGCCCAAGATCCTGAGAGAAGAATGGAGGAGAAGGAATTGTGGTGTGGCCATTTGCCCTGGGAAGTGATTTATCACTTTCTGTCTCTGTCTGGCCAGTGAGCACATGCACCCTATAGCAAAAATCTCTCTCTCTCGGAAAAAAAAAAAAAAACTAAAAGGAACTATATATATTTTACATTATGTGTCTACATGTCATATTTATCACATTGACTAATTCTCAAAAAGACATTACAGTCTTAAATTCTACTTTATAACAAAAATACAGAAAAGATTACATGCAACTCAGAGATGCAACAGGTAATATAAAATGCATCTGAAAAGGATTTTTAAACACTTAGTAATACCTATAACTAAATTTTTCTTAGGTGAGAAGGAGTACTGATTAGCACATGTGTACTAAAATCTCCTCAATTAAAAATGGAAGTCTGAATTCCACTGTTATTTTTGTAATTTTGTTTTAAAACATATTAATAAGCCTATCTTTTATGCCGGGCACATGTGTATGCATGCCCAAGATCCTGAGAGAAGAATGGAGGAGAAGGAATTGTGGTGTGGCCATTTGCCCTGGGAAGTGATTTATCACTTTCTGTCTCTGTCTGGCCAGTGAGCACATGCACCCTATAGCAAAAATCTCTCTCTCTCGGAAAAAAAAAAAAAAACTAAAAGGAACTATATATATTTTACATTATGTGTCTACATGTCATATTTATCACATTGACTAATTCTCAAAAAGACATTACAGTCTTAAATTCTACTTTATAACAAAAATACAGAAAAGATTACATGCAACTCAGAGATGCAACAGGTAATATAAAATGCATCTGAAAAGGATTTTTAAACACTTAGTAATACCTATAACTAAATTTTTCTTAGGTGAGAAGGAGTACTGATTAGCACATGTGTACTAAAATCTCCTCAATTAAAAATGGAAGTCTGAATTCCACTGTTATTTTTGTAATTTTGTTTTAAAACATATTAATAAGCCTATCTTTTTGTGCTTTTATACTTCAAAGGATATGAAGTTTAAATTATACATATATAAAAAATCGATACCCCGTTCTATATTTTTAGTTGATGTAGGAAAATATTTTATGTATAATTATGAAGGAAGAAATCATACCACTCCTTAACACATGAATACAACAAAAGAGCAACCCTGTTTCCAAAACCTAAATTGGACTGATTCAACAATACTATTATTCTTTGATGTCCATTAATGTTTTTTACCTTACTGTTATAACCATTAATTCTTCATAGAATTATAAATATGTCATTTGACTATGTCAGTCTGTATATATTGTGCCTTAATATGAAAAGCAATTTTTTAATTTACAAAAGTATTTTTCATTGTTATATTTCATATGCATGAAAACCCAAGTATATGAACTTATTTTCCTATTTTAAAATGTCCATAATACCAATAATGTGGCCAATTTACTTTGCAGTTTTGCAAAAGCCTTTATGAAGGATAGTCTTATTACACAGTGATTTTGAAAGCATTGGGAAAATAAATTTGCCTACCAGGTGGTTAACAAAATTATAATACTGAGTTATATCATGTGAAAATAAATGATCCTTTATGCCATGAAATCATCCAGATGTGTTCAGGAATGTGGTTGCTTTAGAGCAATGACTGTATTTTGTGATCCTTATAACAAAAAAATTTACACTGTTTTTATTTTACATCAAAAGGCAGTCTGAATGAAGTAAAAAATCTCACAGATTATTTGTAAAATGTATTAGTAACAGAGAAGACATCTTTATAGCCAACTCTTAATAAATGCCCCTTGTATCAAATCTTTGACACATGTGTACCTAAATAATTGAAATGTGTACTTTCATGCTGACTTTCACTACCATGTGACTGTGCTTTAAAATGGCATGTCTGTTATCTGGATTTATATATATGTATTTTAATAAACACTACAGTTAAAGCCTGATAAGACATAAAACCACCATTGAGAGAGAGTTTCTCCATAACTCTTGGGTCAGGGTAATTGGGGACATGAAGGGCTAAGTTATTTACTTACTCAGTGGCCTAGGAAAATCACTTCATAGGATTGTTCCAGAGGCTAATTCTCTGCTTCTAAGAAATTCTGACCATGATATAACCCAAAAATTAGTATAAAAGGGGAAAAGCACTTACTAATTAATACAATGTACCCCAGATGCTTTGATTCCCATATAAGCATTCAGCCAATTGTCTGAAAATGTTCTTCCTTGAAGAGTTTGCTCTACCTCCTAGAAAAGTTCACTCCTTCCTCTGTCAAAGATCTTTTATAGGGACCAGCAGATGACGTGAAGGTTACGTTGCTGACCATGTAGTTGACCACGGTTCAAGTCCTGGACCCAGTGACTTAAAACTCATGCCAGGTGGGTGTGTGGGGGGGCAGAAGGGATGTGGTGTGGCCATGCCCACTAAGGGGTGACTTCTTGCTTTCTGTCTCTCTGTCTCTCTGACAAGTGCATGTGCCCTATAGCAAAAACCTCTAAAAAAAAAGATCTTTTGTTAAGTAAGTGTTCCTAAAATATGTCTGTAGTTTTGGCTGCTGTTGACACAGCTCAAGCTCAAGAAAATTTTGAAGTTACTCACTTTGATCATACTTGCTACTTTTATATGTTTACTTACTAAGTAATGAAACATACAGACAATATCATATTTCCCACAACTTTTTATGTTCCACAGGAATCTCAAGAATTAACCAGAGTTAGGCCAGGAGTGGTTAACTCTCTACAAAAATTGAAGAGAATCTGGAGAACAAAGAAACTTCTTTGTTTATCCCCAATTGAATTCTTCTCTCTGGGTCTTTTCTAAAGCAGAGCTTCAGAGACTTATTTCTAAAACTCTTTCCTAAGGAACTATATTTTATAGGTTCAAAATTATTCTCATAACTTTGTGCTTTAGGTCATCCCATTAGAAATCAAGACAACAGGTAAATTTCCTGTAGCTGGATGGGATATGCATTTGAACTACATTTCTTACCTCAGATAAAACTGTGTTTTGAACACATTCCCAAGAATTTTTATCATCAGGGTTCTCTTTAAGTTCTCTTCTAATTACTGTTTAACCAAAAATGTAAAATTTAACAAGGCAGTCCCTGGAAGTAGAAATGCTAATAAAACAGTCTGAACACTCAAACATGCAGAAAATCTGTTGAGTTTAGTTGGAAACTGACATACATATTGTGCGATTCAGCATTAGTCATATTCATCCTGGAAGTCAAATGAGACTGTTAGTGAAATGGCATTAAAACTATGAATAATTCCAGATGGAAAAGAATTCCACAGATGAAGATAAAATTACCAAGACTGTATGAAAGATAATTAGTCTTTCAGGATATCAATCTGCTTTTGTTTCTCTTCTGGAAAGACAGGCGACACGGCAACAAGCAGCAGGAAATTTTAATTGAACTGAATCTGTTGCACCATGATATAACCCAAAAATTAGTATAAAAGGGGAAAAGCACTTACTAATTAATACAATGTACCCCAGATGCTTTGATTCCCATATAAGCATTCAGCCAATTGTCTGAAAATGTTCTTCCTTGAAGAGTTTGCTCTACCTCCTAGAAAAGTTCACTCCTTCCTCTGTCAAAGATCTTTTATAGGGACCAGCAGATGACGTGAAGGTTACGTTGCTGACCATGTAGTTGACCACGGTTCAAGTCCTGGACCCAGTGACTTAAAACTCATGCCAGGTGGGTGTGTGGGGGGGCAGAAGGGATGTGGTGTGGCCATGCCCACTAAGGGGTGACTTCTTGCTTTCTGTCTCTCTGTCTCTCTGACAAGTGCATGTGCCCTATAGCAAAAACCTCTAAAAAAAAAGATCTTTTGTTAAGTAAGTGTTCCTAAAATATGTCTGTAGTTTTGGCTGCTGTTGACACAGCTCAAGCTCAAGAAAATTTTGAAGTTACTCACTTTGATCATACTTGCTACTTTTATATGTTTACTTACTAAGTAATGAAACATACAGACAATATCATATTTCCCACAACTTTTTATGTTCCACAGGAATCTCAAGAATTAACCAGAGTTAGGCCAGGAGTGGTTAACTCTCTACAAAAATTGAAGAGAATCTGGAGAACAAAGAAACTTCTTTGTTTATCCCCAATTGAATTCTTCTCTCTGGGTCTTTTCTAAAGCAGAGCTTCAGAGACTTATTTCTAAAACTCTTTCCTAAGGAACTATATTTTATAGGTTCAAAATTATTCTCATAACTTTGTGCTTTAGGTCATCCCATTAGAAATCAAGACAACAGGTAAATTTCCTGTAGCTGGATGGGATATGCATTTGAACTACATTTCTTACCTCAGATAAAACTGTGTTTTGAACACATTCCCAAGAATTTTTATCATCAGGGTTCTCTTTAAGTTCTCTTCTAATTACTGTTTAACCAAAAATGTAAAATTTAACAAGGCAGTCCCTGGAAGTAGAAATGCTAATAAAACAGTCTGAACACTCAAACATGCAGAAAATCTGTTGAGTTTAGTTGGAAACTGACATACATATTGTGCGATTCAGCATTAGTCATATTCATCCTGGAAGTCAAATGAGACTGTTAGTGAAATGGCATTAAAACTATGAATAATTCCAGATGGAAAAGAATTCCACAGATGAAGATAAAATTACCAAGACTGTATGAAAGATAATTAGTCTTTCAGGATATCAATCTGCTTTTGTTTCTCTTCTGGAAAGACAGGCGACACGGCAACAAGCAGCAGGAAATTTTAATTGAACTGAATCTGTTGCTAAATACAGAAACCAAAGTCCAAGAAAAGCATGGTTTTCTTTCCCACAACTCATTATCAATGAGAGGGGTTACCTATTTTTACAAAATGGTTTAAATTAAGGCTATTTATGAAGATAGGCCAGATTTTCTATGAGCCAATGCATAGTAATAATTATTTAGACTACATTTTGATTAATGTGATTATAAATATATCAGGCAGAGCAGAAGCTCTTAATTTCTAATGAGGGAAACAGATCACAAAGTAGTTCAACATTCCTACAGAATTTGAGAAAGGCCTCTTATAGCAATTTGTGTTTAATTATGCCTTTTAACTTATTTTTTGCTCATTCTGTATAAATTTGTTTGATATTATTAAATTTTCAAAAGTACTGGCACAGGTGTTTTGTTTTGTTTTGTTTTTAGAGGGGTTTTTGCTATAGGGCAAGTGCACTCACCAGAGACAGACAGAAGGCAAAAAAATCACCCCCCGAGGGTTGGGGGGGGTATGACCACACCAGAACCCCTTCTCTTCTAGTCTCTTCTTGGGATTTGGGGCATTCATGCACATGCACCTGACATGAATTTATAACCACTGGGTCTGGTACTCGAATCACATTGGGAATCCAGTGATGGAACCATTATGCCATCTTGTGGTCCCCACAGTTGTTTAAAAAATGGTTGTTGAATTGAAAACAAATGTTCCTTTGCCCAAATATGGGTAAGACACCACTTTATTTAATATTGACATACTCCAAGACTAGGTGATTATATCCATTTAGTATGGTAACAGATGGTAGCATCACTTCTTCAAAGCCACTGGACGGGCTCTTCTCAGGGTTTCATTACTGGGCTTCTGATAGAATTCATAGTAGAGTCACAAGAAGGTTTTCTAGCTTGCTTTACATAAATTTCTCTAGTTATATTGCCACCATTACTTGTATTTGCTGAAATTTAAAATAAAATCAATTCACAGTTATTAAATATTTATACAACCATCAGTGTTTCTAATTGATCAAATATATACAGACTGATTGGCAACAGACTGGACACAGGTTAATCTCAATGCCTGGTAAGTATAGTATTTAAATCATGCATTGTAGTAGTCATGGATAAAAACAGCTGAATGTCACCTACCTCCAAAAGTCATCAACAGTGCCTAAAAATATCCAGGGCTTATTTTGGTGCATCTGATCCTGAATATGACTCAACTATTTCTGGACATTGCTTCAGAAAGCAGCTGAGGCAACGGTGGCACGATTTTATACTTAGATTTGGCAAATATACATGATTCATAATTCAGTTTGGAACTCTGATTACACTGAGGCATCCAAGCTGGCCTCCAGACTCCAGGTTACTCAGCTCTAGTGTGAGGGGCCAGTGGCGACTAAGAAACCTGTATTCCATTGGCCCACTATTTTGCTATATTTAGATCAACAGGTAGAGGAATTTAAGTGTTAAAAAAGAGAAAAACAAAAAGAAAAAAAAAGATAACAGTCTACCTTACAATCGATTTTGGTCACCCTATTTGATAGAAGATGTTCAGATAAACAGCCTGTGATTTCAGTGCCGCAATCCTAGGCCATTAAGTAGAGTCAAGTTCTAACAGTCCCATAACCTGGCCTCTCCACCTTCATTTACTTTCAAATTATGGTAGCTGACCTGAACTAATCATTCTACCCTTTTATTAGAAACAACCAAAATTGATCTCTTCACACAAGTTAAGAAAAAAATAATTTAATACTTAAACTAACAATTCTCTCATCCATGTTATTCCCAAAGTCAAATCTATTAATTCCCTGAGTACCCAGACTAAGAGAATGAAAGTATATGGAACACACACAAGTTGAGAAAAAATAATTTAATACTTAAACTAACAATTCTCTCGTCCATGTTATTCCCAAAGTCAAATCTACACCATTCATTAATTTCCTGAGTACCCAGACTTAAAGAATGAAAGTACATGAAACAAGATTGAGAGATATATAAGAGGGATATCAAAATGTTCATGGACAATGGAATTAAAAGATAAAATAGGGACCAGCAGATAGCATAATGGTTACATCACTGGACCCCCATATAGTTGACCATGGTTCAAGTTCCAAACGTGGCATCTTAAAACTCACACTGGGTGTGTGTGCATGCATGCCCCAAACCTGAGAGACTAGAGAGGGGATTGTGGTGTGGCCATCCCCCCTGGGTTGGGAGAGGGAGTAATTTCTCACTTTCTGTCTCTCTCTGTCTCTCTGGTGAGCACACGAGTCCTATAGCAAAAATCTACTAAGCTCAAGATACTTTGTAAGTGACACCAGCCATTAAGTCTATCCCTACAGAACTGAGGGTCCTGGAAGTTTAACCATGTCAATGCAGTCTTGTTTATTAAAGAAAAATGGGTTTCCTTTAAAGTTTAAAATTAGGAAGCAGAAAAGTCAGAAGGAGCCAAATTATGACTGCAAGGTGCATGCCCAGTGATTTGCCATAGAAACTGACAAAATTGTCTTTGCTTGATGAGAAGAATGAGCAGGAATATTGTTATGGTGGAGAAGAATTAGCTGGTGAAACTTCTATGGGCATTTTTATGCTAAACTTTTGACCAACCTTCTCAGCCACCTCATAAGAAGAAGATACTGTTCTTTGGTCCTCCAGAAAGTGAATGGAATGCCACGAGATTTCCCAAAAAACTGTTATGATGTTTTCTCTTGAGGGGTCCACTTTTGTTCTGACAGGACCACTTCTACCTCCTGGTAGCCTTGATCTGATTGTGCTTTGTCTTCAGGATTGTACTGGTGAAGCCATGTATCATTTCCTGTTACAGTTCTTGGCAGAAATGCTTTAGGATGTTGATCGGACTTGTTTCAAATGTCCACTGAAGGCTCTGTTTCTGTCTACAGCTTACCTAGGTGCAACAGTTTTGGCACGCAGGAAGTTTGCTCAGCTTAAATTTTTCAGTCAGAACTGTGTAAACTGAACCAACTGAGATGCCTGTGGGGTTGGCTATTGTTTCTGCTGATGATCATTGATTGGTCCTCTTCAATTTGAGCATGAATAAGATTTTTTTTCTCACAAATTGATGGTCTGTTGCTCTGGGTATCATCTGCAAGATACTCTTATGTCTTCTGAAAATGAGTTAAGCATTTGTAAACTGCTAAATCTTTGGGACATTATCGCCATAAACTTTTCATAAAGTATCAATGATTTTACATTCTTTCACCCAAGCTTCACTATAAATTTGATGTTTATTTTTCCTTCAATTTTTAGCAGGATTCATGTTGCTGTGCTAGAAGCACAGCAACTTTTTTGGACTGATGTCTTATCCTTCTTTAGTGCCTCAAATTAAATCCTGTTCAGACATGCTATAAAAAATTAGTACACGTTTATTTGGGTATAATAAAATAAAATAAAAGCCATGCATAGTTTTTTCTGTAATATGCATTTCCATGAACTTTTTGAAGAACCTTCATATGCGCACCTTCCCATGCTGACCTCTCTTCAGTGAAAGCTTCCATAGCTCACAGCCACTTGAAAAGGAAAGTAAAAGGCCTTTGGCATGAAAGAGAATCATAAAAATGTATCCAAGGAATCATAAAAGTATTGAGAAAATAAAATGGGAGATGAGGTGCTTAGAGTAGTTCATGCATTATTAAAATTGTAAAATAGGGGTCAACAGGTGATATGGTGGTTAGGGTGCTGGACTCCCATGTGGCTAAGGGAAGTTTGAGTCCCAGACCAGGTGGCTTTCTCTTTCTCTCTCTCTCTCTCTCTCTCTCTCTCTCTCTCTCTCTGGTGAGTGCATGTGCCTTATAGCAAATTAAAATAATAATAATAAAATCTTTTAAAAATGGTAGAATAAAAAAAAATCATTCTAGAGACCTGATGTTATTGATGACATACAGTTTTTCTTAAAACTCGTGTGTGAGCCTTGAACATTTTCCAAATAGATAACAGAAATGAGAAATATCTTAGCATTTCAAACATCAATGAGCATCAGTTTTAATATATGTTGGTGTCTGTCATAAGAAGGAAGCAGTTCTGTGACCCATTACTACTCCTTCCTACCTTGTCATCGCAGCTCCCAAAGCTGGTGGTCATGCCTTTCCTATCCCCTGTCCCATCCCATTAGCCATAAAGAGAAAGAAGTAAGCAAGTGTGGGAGGAACAGGAGGGAAGGACCACCTGCAGTCTCATTTCCCATGCCTTTATGCCCATTATGATCTCTTCCTTCATGCTTACCCTACTGCCCTGCTGGGCTGGAACTGTTACTGCAAATATCACTAACAGAAGAAGGTTAAGGCACATAGAGATGATGCATTATACTTCCAGAAAAGGTGAAACTATAGATACATATCTCTTAAGTTTATTTATGTCTTCCATGACAGAGGGCACTCCTAACAGGGCCCTGATCCACCCCCAGCTCCAACCACTCTGGATCATGGGTGTGTGTGTGTGCCACTTGTATACAAGGAGACTGCAGGATACAAATCCAGGACTCCAGGTATGTTACTGCTGTGTCACCATCTGGCACTCTCAATTTTTCATAAAACAGTGTTATTCACTTCTGTGAATTCTATCATGCTAAGTATCATCCCTCAGGTATATGATGGGGCAAAGGGATTTCTATGGGATGGCTTGATATCTGGGTATTAAAAGATAATTTTGTGAGAGTTTCAATGTAAAATCATTAGACATCCACCCTACAGGCCTGATTTGCCTTTATTTGACTTCTTTTTTTCTAATCTAAAACAAAACAAAACATTAAAGGGCACCTATTTTTCCTCAAGTAATAGTATAAAAAAGACTGTGTTGACATAGTTCAATTCCCAGGGCCCTAAGTTTGATAGGGGTGGATTAAATGTCTGGTATCATTGCCTTCAAGGTGTCCTAAACTTGGAGCATATTTTGATCAGTAAAGTTTATACTTATCTTTATCTTTTAGTTCCATTTTCCATGAACTTTTTGGTGTCCCTTCTTATATATATATATATGTGTGTGTGTGTGTGTGTGTGTGTTAGGACAGATTCATCCTCCAACTACTGAATAAGTGAGTTTTGAGCTTTGCAGGTGAGAGTCACCTTTTTCAGACTCAGCCATTTAAGGACACATCAGAATTCAAATGGCTTTGATAGTAAGGTGTGTGTGTGGGGGGGTGAGTTAGATGTGACTAAACATGTAACTAAACTACATTCCCCCTCCACCTATCAAAAAGCAGAGCAGCATACCAGTTTAAGTTTAGACCATACCAGTTTAAGTTTTAGACCAACATTTGGTCTAAAAGTTTTAACATTTAAGTATTTACTTTCTTCATTTAGAACTTTGAACAAAGTAAAACAAAATAACATTTTAACAGGCAAAAAGTTGAAACAAGAACTTACATAAAACAGGAGTAACTTTTTCCCTTTTAACCTGTGACTTATATCGGTATCTAGAAGCTTGGGCAGGAAGATGATCAAGAGTAATTTCTCCCACTGTTGGTCTGACATCAAACCATTCTGTAAAATATAAACATGGGATTATTTCTTAAGAAGTTACAGTAGTCATTGTCAAAATGACACCATAATTGAAAAGCTAAGCAAATTATTTAAACACATTTTATCATATTGCTAAGAGTAGTGTGAATACACAGGTCAGTAACCCCCTCTTCACACCATTCATAGTATCTGTGATTCACAAAATATTTAAAATATTTAAAGGAAGTACTTTTATGTTTATATTAATTTTTATAAGTTTTTTGGGACCAGCAATTGACATAATGGCTATGTCGCTGGACTCCGCACGTAGTCGACTGCGGTTTGAGTCCCGGATCTGGTGGCTTAAACTCACGCTGGGCGCGTGTGCGTGCGTGCCCAAGATCCCGAGAGGAGAATGGAGGAGAAGGGATTGTGGCGTGGCCATCCCCCCTGGGGGGTGATTTCTGGCTTTCTATCTCTCTGTCTCTCTCTGTCCTTGCAAGCACACATGCCCTGTAGCAAAATACCTCTCTCAAAAAAAAAAAAAAAATTTTAAGTTTTTATTCAATAATAACATATACACAAGGAGGTGAAAATGTAATAACATAAATAATGTATATATAGGTAAAACTTTTTAATCAAAGAAAATATAAACAAAGACAGCAGGACAGTAGTTACCCTTGGAGGACAGTATGGAGAATGCAATCAAAGAAGTACACACAAGGAAAGTTGAGATGCCGGTGATGTTGCATTTCTTAAACTCCATGAGGATACATGCATATTTATTCATTGTTACTAGTCTTTAAATTGTAAGAGGAGCCTTCAAGCAATTTATGGGAAATGTGTATTATCAATAAACTACGCATGGATTTCAAAATTACTTTGCACCAAACAAAATAAACTCATAGTTTAAAATTTTTAAATTAATATTGTTTTGGGACCAGCGGTCAGCGTAATGGCTGTGTCACTGAACTCCCATGTAGCCGACCGTGGTTCGAGTCCTGGACCTGGGGGGTTAAACTCACGTGTGCCCAAGATCCCGAGAGGAGAATGGAGGAGAAGGGACTGTGGCGTGGCCATCCCCTCTGGGAGGTGATTTCTCGCTTTTTATCTCTCTGTCTCTCTCTGTCTTTCAGGCAAGCACAACTCTTTGTGCTTTGTAGCAAAAACTCTCGGAAAAAAAAATTAATATTGTTTTAATTGCCATGTGTTTTTCAGGGAAAAAATAGAAAACACTCTCCAAAGTTTTGGTCATGCCACAATCTTTTTAACACAATTTCTCCATCCTTCAGGATTTGGGGCACACATACAGACACATGCTCAGAGTGTTTTTCAAGCCACACAGGCAAGTATTCAAACGATAGTTAGCCACATGAGATCCAGTGCTTTTAACCACGACACTATGGGGCCAGCTGTAAACTCACACTTTAATTCCATTTTCCTGTGAAATTCTTGGAGCACTCTCATGTATGTATATTATATATAATATATATATTATATATACACACACATATATAACAAAATTCTCAGCAATATTTGCTCATTTAAAAATGTACAAAAATTTTAACTACAAAAGAATTAATAACCTGAATTCTTTTTTTACTTTCTGTATAAGTACAGCCACAGATGAAAGAAACTCAAGGAAAAAAGAAAAAAAAACAGGAAATGATAGAATGAACAGAATAAGGGGGGACAAAACCTATTTCACAATGGGGAGGGGGGGGTAAGAGTGGGGAGTAGTTAAGTTGCTGCTTTCCTCTCCTTCCAGAAATCAGAAAGAAAAAGGTTCTTTTCTTAAGAAAGTGGAATTCAGAAGGGGAAGAAAAATCCTAAAGAACAGCATTTGCCTCATTTCCTGAATGGTTTGGGTATCACAGAAATGATGAAGTCTCTAGGTATCTGGAATCAAGTAACATGAGATTCCAAGACTCAAGTGGTGTCCTGAATAAGTAAATAGATATAGATGATAGATAGATATAGATGATAGATTAGATAGATACAGATATATACATACATATAGATAGAGATAACAAACAATAAAAAGGTCTCTTCCTTTGTTTGCCACTTGTTTGGGACTTTGATGGCAAATACTTCTGGATGCTTGGAGAATTATCTCAGTGACATCTCTGGAAAGTTACCGTGGGTTGTCTGCCCTATAATCTGCCCTATAATCTATAAGCTAACAAAAGTACTACAGAAAGGTTAAGACTGACCTGCCTCTGCACAGCATCTAGAGGGAATCATGGTAATCCAGGCTTTTCCCAAAGGATTTATAACCTGATCAACTCTGAAATGTTCCCATATTCCTTAGTTGCTTGAATTGATATGTAAACTTAATTTTAGGCTTATTTCTTTCTTCTGTGATGGAAAGAGACAAAGACAGAGAGAGAGAGAGAATATATCCAACAGGGTCTTGACATTAAGATCTACCTCTAGCCTTAGTCAGCCCCGGATCATGGGCAAGTGGGGCCAGTGTACTTAGGGAGGTCTCCAGATTTGAACCAGGAACTTTCTTATGTGTGACTGCATTGCAGAGCATCATGTTTTATTGTGTCACTGACCCTGATACGTGAACTTATTTTCCACAAGTTTATATGAATAGATTTGCAAACATTTTTCTAAAAACAAGTAACTATACACTATGATAACCTATGCTTTCATCAAAAAGAATGAATTATAACATAAGCTACTCCACTGAAAATAAATTGCTTTAATGATGTATAAGAGATGTACTTTCCCTTTAGTGAATAAAGAAATCAGAAACGAGGGACCAGTAGTTAGTGTAATGGCTATGTCGCTAAACTCCCATGTAGTTGACTGCAGTTCGAGTCCCGGATCTGGTGGCTTAAACTCATGCCGAGCGTGTGTGCATGTGTGCCCAAGATCCCAAGAGGAGAATGGAGGAGAAGGGATTGCGGCATGGCCACCTCCCCTGGGGGGTGATTTCTCGCTTTCTGTCTCTCTCTCTGGCAAGTGCACATATCCTGTAGCAAAAACCTCTCAAAAAAAAAAAAAAAAGAAAGAAAGAAAGAAAAAGAAAATAAAGAAATCAGAAATGGAAACTGAAATTTTCTTCCATTTGTGTTCAAGAATACCCTCATTGAGCTTGGAAGAACTCAGTTGATTGTTTCAAAGGAAAACTTACTTGGATTCAATTTTCTGCTTAATTTTCTCTGCAACATTTGTAAAAGGAGTAGGAACTCTACTTTAAGTTCATTGCTGAGCATGTTGGGATTACTTATTAATTCTGATAACCTAATATTATCTTTAATAGACTTTGAAGCTGTAGACCTAGGAACCAGGGGTAAACGCATCTGGTAACTGTAGTCTGTGAAATTTGCATAGTCATCCTGGATACTTTTAATTCTGGAAATAAGAAATAAAATAGAATACTGTTTACAAGTCACATTTCAGCAGTGAGATTTATCTTATCAAAAGTTTCATATTGTATTACTAGAAAATTCTGAATAACTCACTCTTGATGTGTTAACAATGTGTAAACCTCTTGTATCAATATTTCAGGTACTCCAGCTTTACAATGAATTGTTCCATGGATTAGTTCTTTAGGTAGTTTAAGTTTTTTCTTTGCCAGGAACTTTAATAGTAGAAAGAAATATTTCATCATAAGACGTTCTATAAAATCTCAATTACTATGAATTCATTCTGGTCCCCCTTTTATTTTTCAACTAATTTGCTGATTTTAGCATGTTCATTTTTAAAAGATAGTATGAAACACAACAAGGAACACAACCATTATATCTCATGGTAATTGAAATGAATATGCTGAGTTTCATTCATGACAAGGGGAATTTAATAAACTCTGCTATCCATGGAAACAGCAGTCACCTCAGTAACGCTGACCCTAGCATTCAGTCACACACATGTCGATACCCAAGATACTAGAAGTGTACCTTTTAAAACAAACTTAACCAATAAAACGGTAAATGACTGCTAATTTACCTTCTCCAACTGTGCCCAGTTATCCAACTTGACTTTTAAAGAGGTTCCATTTTCAAAGGATGACAACTTAAGGTCCCAGGGGTAATATATACTGAATATTTGTGCAACCAAGAAGCCATTTGAAAAATCCCTAATTCATAGCAATAAGGAAATAAAGTGTAGTTATACGGTTTGCATCATTATAACCATATCTTTTTATTTATTATTTATTTATTTATTTATTTATTTATTTATTTATTTATTAAGAGGTTTCTGCCTTAGGGGGTGTGCACTTGCAGAGAGAGAGATGTGCAAGAGAGAGAGAGAATCACACCTCCAGGGGGGAATGGCCACACTGCAATCCTTTCTCCTCCATTCTCCTCCTGAGATCAGAGGCCTACATGCACAGGAGCCCAGCGAGAGTTTCAAGTCACTGGGTCTGGGACTAGAACCACCGTCGCCAATGTGAAGGTCTAGAGATGAAATTCCTATGTCATCTGCTGGTCCCTTAGTGGCAACTTTTAAAAGTCTTTGAAAACCTTCAAACCAGATGCCATTTCTAACAGGGAGTAAACCGATCTTGTGTTAAAAGCCTAAAGTCCCTAAAGAAAAGACCTTGACTAATTAAATATTTTTATAGTCCCCAAAACATTCTATATTAGCTTAAGTCTACCATTTAGTGACTGGTTAAATGAAGGAAATGCTTCTCCATTTTTTTAAAAGCCTCGCTGCCTAAGAGGTATTTTAGGGTGTTCCTCCGCGTGGCGCGCGAGTGCGGGTCTTGATCTGAAACGCAAGCCAGGACGGGGGCGGCAATGCAAGGACACAGGCCGAGAAAGGAGTCGGCGCGGACCCCGAGCCCCAGAGCCTGGGCTCCCGGCCGGAGCACCTGTTGATGTTCCTGGGGAAGAAGCTGAGGTCCAGGCTCTGGAGCCAGCGCAGAACGGACCGAGACAGGCGGGAGCTCTTCGGGGGCTGAGGATAGAACAGACACTTCTTAGGCCGCCCTCGGACAGGAGCTGCTGGCTGTGACAACAGTGACGGTGACTTG